CCCTGGTGACATCCCTGTCCCCAAGTTGTCCCTGCCTGTCCCTGCCAGACTCAGGTGACCCAGGTGTCCCCAGGTGACAGGCGTGTCCCCAGGTGTCCCCAGGTGCCCTGGCAGCCCCAGGTGGCCCGGGTGACTCAGGTGTCCCCAGGTGACACGTGTGTCCCCAGGTGTCCCTGGCAGCCCCAGGTGTCCCTGGCTGTCCCTGGCTGTCCCCAGGTGTCCTGGCAGCCCCAGGTGACACGCGTGTCCCCAGGTGTCCCTGGCAGCCCCAGGTGTCCCAGGTGACTCAGGTGTGCCCAGGTGACACGCGTGTCCCCAGGTGCTGCGGAACATGGTGCACTGCGCCGACCTGAGCAACCCCACGAAGCCGCTGGGGCTGTACCGGCAGTGGACGGAGCGCATCATGGAGGAGTTCTTCAGGCAGGGGGACCGGGAGCGCGAGCAGGGCCTGGAGATCAGCCCCATGTGCGACAAACACAGCGCGTCCGTGGAGAGCTCCCAGGTGAGGGACACCTGGGGACACCTGGGGACATGGGGACATGGGGACACAGATCAGCCCCATGTGCGACAAACACAGCGCCTCCGTGGAGAGCTCGCAGGTGAGAGACATGGGGACACCTGGGGGGACATGGGGACACCTGGGGACACCTGGGGAGACGTGGAGACACCTGGGCTGGGGACATGGGGACACCTGGGGACACAGATCAGCCCCATGTGTGACAAACACAGCGTGTCGGTGGAGAGCTCACAGGTGAGGGGACATGGGGACACCTGGGGACATGGGGACACCTGGGGACATGGGGACACCTGGGGACACCTGGGGGGGACACAGATCAGCCCCATGTGCGACAAACACAGCGCCTCCGTGGAGAGCTCCCAGGTGAGGGACACCTGGGGACACCTGGGGGGACATGAGGACACCTGGGGACATGGGGACACCTGGGGACATGGGGACATGGGGACCTGGGGACACCTGGGGACACCTGGGGGGACATGGGGACAGCCCCAGGTGTGCCAGTGCCACCAGCAAGGAGTCACAGGTGCAGCTCCCTGCGGTGTCCCCAAGGTGCCCCAGCGATGTCCTGCTTGTCCGCAGTGTCCCCTCTGATGTCCCCAATGTCCCTGCTGCCCTTGATGTCCCCTGTCCCCTCACTGTCCCCAGTGCTGTCCCCCTGTCCCCTCAGTGTCCCTGCTGTCCCCGCTGTCCCCAGTGTCCCCTCTCTGTTGCCTCCCTGTCCCCAGTGCTGTCCCCTCGCTGTCCCCTCAGTGTCCCCAGTGTTCCCCCCCTGTCCCCAATGCTGTCCCCAGTGGTGTCCCCTCAGTGTCCCCTGTTTGTCCCCAGTGTCCCCTCGCTGTCCTCCCTGTCCCCTCAGTGTCGCCTTGCTGTCCCCAGTGGTGTCCCCAATGGTGTCCCCTCCCTGTCCCCGCTGTCCCCTCAGTGTCCCCCTGTCCCCAGTGCTGTCCCCTCAGTGTCCCCCCTATCCCCGCTGTCCCCTCAGTGTCCCCTCAGTGTCCCGCTGTCCCCTCAGTGTCCCCCTGTCCCCAGTGCTGTCCCCTC